TCGAATATTTTTTTTACTAGTGAATCCTAGCTTACCCTATTGCTACTGTATGCATGTGTTATCTCTTTTGCCAATGTGTTAGGCCTCGCATGTCTGATGCTTCTGTTCACTCTATTTATATACTGAAGCGCAGAATCATGTTTCTTCTTTGATTGATCTTGATCTTGTGACTGATTGCAAAAGCTTTTCTTTTATGAGCCCTAATTTCACTCGCTTGTTTCAATTAATTGATTCCTTTCCTTTACTCTTATGTTTTACCTTGCTGAATCCTTTCCCAAAAAAAGCCTATTTTGTACTTAGACTTGGTTGTTTTCTTCATGCTTTTACTGCCCCCTTATATGGCAATAATCAATCTATCCCCAAACTGATTTCTTTCCTTAATTAAACTTGCTGCTACCCGTTAAACAGTAATTCCTTAATTAAAGGGAATCCCTTGTGTTAATTGATTCTGACTTGTGATTGTTTCCATGTTTGTGTTTAAGACTTTACCTCTTCTTCTCTCGTTTTCAAAACTATAAATACCCACCCCTCTTCTTTCAAGGACACGAACAATTGAGTTCAAGAACACACACTTACACTCAAAACTTTCTCTCTTTTCTCTACTACTACTACTTGTGCTACTGCTTTGTCTAGCCGGCTGAAAGCCAAAGCTAGACTATGGAATCTTGCTTATTTCCTTCTTTCTGCACTTTGCTTCTCTATTGGTATGTCCTAGTAAATCTTCAAGCATCAACAACAACATGTTTCTTTAGCTATTTCTGTTTCCTTCACTCTTGCCTGCTTCTGCTTATGTTTATGCAATCAAGTTACATTACTAAGCATGCTGTAATCTGCTCCCTCCCTTTCTAAATTAAAAATGTTCCCTTATGTATGTACTCTGTCAGTCACTTGTTATGTGATTTGCTGACATATGAATCCCAAACCCCCATATCCCCCTATGTGTTTGTGTTCTCTGGCTGGTTTGTAAACATGTCAGCATCATCTATTATTGTACATGACCAAACCTAACCCTTTCTGGGGTCATATGCTTCATACAATGTATTCCCAAAACTCCTGACCCCTTTGTGTAACTGCTGATTCTGTGTAGTTTGAGTTTTATTACTACTGTTTTCAAATCACTCTTACCACTTACTATTTTCAACCCAGTTTTAAATAATCTCTGTACTCTGCACTTCCACTATATTCTTAGAACCTACGTTCTGCCCTTCTTGTGTGAGCCTTGCCTTGGGACCCTTGAGCTCCCTCTAAACTTGGACACATAAGGGTTGGCCCTTCCACACTGCACTCATCTCTATCTAGTTATGCAAACCTGGGTGTAAGCACTGGTCGGGGTCCCTTGAGACCCTTAGGGAACTTTGACATACCCAGGTCTGAGAAAGGCTTTGAAACAAGTGGCATTTGAGGTGGTTTATTCCATAACTCAGAGAGGAAGTCAGAATCAGGCTTCCTATGGTTATAACTTCTTATTTTACACTTTCCTGATGTAATTCAGTATTTGGGGGTTGGCTAGTGAAAAGGTATAGGGTAATTATTCATGTTTTAGCTATTAGAAGGGTAGAGAACATGCTTATAGGATATGTTCTATTTTAATTCAAGTTCTGCATGGTTTATTTTCACACAGATAGAGATCATGCCTATAGGAATTTCGCTTTAATCAAATAAATCCTACCTACTTCACTGCATGTTCCATGCTTATATAATCAAAATCAGTCGTTAACATTTAGATACCATGCTTATAAGAATTAAAATCAGCTATAATAGAAATCATACCTATATGATCTAAAACCAGTATAGTTAAAATCAGTTTGACTCGTACTGTTCCAAATTAGTTTAAACAACCTACTCCTTTTATTAATACGGTCTAGAAAGCATGCCTATAGGATCCAAATCGCCTGTTTAAATTAACCATTGCTCTGTTGCATTCTTAATTAGTGATAGATATCATGCTTATAGGACATCACCAATACACACTTAGGCAAGTCTTAGATAATTGCTTAATAAAACTGGATTCGCCTTTGTTTAATTAGCAACTGCTACAACCAGCAGGCAGGCCTAATTTTGACTTCTTATCTGAGTTATGTAATAAATATGGTCTGTTTCAACAATTAAAACATCCTGCCTTAGTACTTTAAATTCTGACCCTAACTGTGTTTAAGTCATGCCATTTACGTGCATTGTATGCGGAGGTATATATAAGCCTCTTATTTGTTTATATGTTTCCCCTAATATGCAGTCCTACGTGTTTTGTATGTCGCCTTAGACTTTTTACCTTTAAAACCCAAAAGTCAGCCTAAAACCCTCCCTCTTATAGGAATAGTAGTCCTAAATTCCTCCGGGACTGATAGAAATGGGATGGGTAATAGCATGCAATAGAGGTCGAGACCAATCCGCGCTTTAATACCTTAACGGGGTGAGAAGGGTAGATATGAATATGATGACCGGTGCGCTAATACCATGTGTATCCCCTCTTCTGAGGAGTGTCATACCGGGTATCGCATTGATGTGATCAATATTGTAAATAAACCTAGGACCCCCTCCTCCCTTTTATATTCTCAAGTGTTTGTAGAGCTGTAACTTCTTTTCAAAATTCGCCTTTTAATAATTGTTTTCAAACTCTTATGTATTTAAACTTAATCTCCTACTATTTGAGCCTATATTTGTCTATCTGCTAATTGTACAAATTCACAAAAATTGTCTGGCTGGGAACCACACTAGTGGATCCTGAGGGGTGCCTAACACTTTCCCCTTAGGATAATTTCAAGCTCTTACCCTGCCTCTGGTTATCAAACAAACTTAGAAATGAACCTTATAGGTGTCCTAATGCACCTTAAATCATTAGGTGGTGACTCTCCAAATGCAAACCTAGTTCCCAAAAGGAATGAGCTGTCATACCCCAAAAATGTCATAAACCCGATTTTCCAATGCAAAGAGGGAAAAAGGGGGAGCGACATGGATATGATGTCTCTTTTGCAAATAGGAAGTGGTTTGTAGGTTCTCAATTCTGCGTAAAGGGAAGCACAGGTGAAAGGTCACACATGCGAGGTTTGGGTCGCAGATGCAAGTAGAAAACCTAGCTTGGGACTCCGCATTTGCAGAGTGTGTGGCGCAGATACAATGGGTTTTTCTCACCTGCAAAGCCGTAGATGCACAAGGTTCTTTGTAGATGCGATGGATGGCAGTTTGAGTGGAGTTTGTAGATGCAATATTGGGCTCGAAAATCTGATTGTTTTCAATGCGAATGCGAGGATGCCTGGCAGGGGTATATGTTCAAGGGTTAGCTTCATTTTATCATATTTTGAGATCGAGAGTTCGGATTGGAGTGATTTTAAAGGTGTTTTCACCAACATAATTTGGGTAAGTATTCTTCACTCTAATTTAATTTTTATACACGATTCTACCTCCAATTTTGGCGTTTGATTATTGAAGTTAAGGAAGAAGTTTTGGAATTTTTGTCTACACTTTAAAAGAGTGTATTTTGGGTCTTGACCATTGATTTGGATCTAGATATGGAAACTAATTATATTTTGCACTCAACAGATTATGGGTCATCGGATTTTGGTATTGAGTTCGAATTTCGGACGTGCAAACCCGGGTTGGCTTTTTGGAAGTTCATTAAAGATCAAAGCTTTATGCGTTGGGATCACTTTCTATAGCATTGTTTGACTTTCTTGGATGATATTTGGCTTGAATTTGCATGATTGGAGGGCTAGAGTGAGGTTTTCGATACGATTTGTGGTTGGAGCTATCCTTGGAAGAGGTAAGTTTCTTGACTAACCTTGTTAAGAGGTAAACCCTTATGATTTGACTTGATTGCTATGTGTTTAAGGTATAGGGATAGTGTACCTACATGGTGGAGAGCGTATATGCACACACAAAGTTTTATTATGCCCAGTTGCTATTATGTCCCTCTTTGCACTTGAATTTTTTATCGTCCCTCCAGAGTAAGATGATTACCTATATTACTTTGGGCCTGTGAGCGTGGTATGTACATGGATTTTATACTGGGTCGATATATGGATTTTGTATTGGGTTATTGTGATACATGGATTTTGTATTGAAATACATGAATCTTATGTCAGGGTACGTAGATCTTATACCGGTTTGAGCATGAATTCATATTCTTGATTCAGTTAAAAGCACTTATATAAATTCTAGCTATTACATGTCAAGTATACATGCTAGTTGGGAGCCTCGACTTTGTTGATTGAAGCATGCTTGTTTACTTGCCATACTTGAGCAATGTTATGATTATCTATTGAATTGGAAAAGCATGCTTTAGGTCTTTTGGTTGCTTTTATATCTTGACACTTGTTGATCATGGGGATAATTAATGTTCCATCTCTAGGCTTGTTGTTATTTCTATGTATTAGGATACATCTAGCTTCACCACTACTTCTTCAAGGTTAGACTTGATATTTACTGCGTACCGACTGTATTATATTCATACTACCTTTCTGCATATTTTGTGCAGGTTTCGAGACTGGTATTGCGGTACCCTTTGAGCTGAATATGAGAGCATTATTGGAGACTTCGTGGTGAACTGCTATACTGTTTCGATCCGCAGCACGTGGAGTCCCCGTCAATTATTTTGCATGTTATCGTATCACAAAAGCAGATGCTAAATATACTCCCTCCGTTCTAATTTATGTAAACCTATTCGATTGGGCACGAAGTTTAAGAAAAAATAAAGACTTTTGGAATCTGTGGTCCTAAACCAGTCAAAAGAGGCCCAGAATATTTGTGTGGTTATAAAAGCTTCTCATTAAAGGTAGAACTGTAAGTTTAAGCTAAATTGTTATTAAATTTAGAAAGGGGTCATTCTTTTTGGAACGGACCAAAAAGAAAATAGGTTCACATAAACTGGAAGAGAGTGAAAATTTAAAATAGATAAATTTAAGGTTCACTCGATCGGTAATTTAGGTTAGGTGTTATCACCCAATTTTTGGGGCGTGGTAAATAAGCCCAATAGATGCAATATTTATTTCGAAGTAATGATCAAGTATCTCAATATTTATATATATATATATATATATATGACATAAAAGGACTAACTAATCAAACCGAAAATAATAAAAAAAAAATAAAACGAAAACACTACTCTTGTAACTTTTAGAAGTAAAGCCTTTTCTTACATGCTATAAACGGTAAAGTACGCAAGAAAACTTGATCCATTTCTTTGACGAGCTCTTCAATCAAGTCCCTGCAAATTTGATCTTGTAAGACAAGCCCTATTCTTCCTGTCTCTCTCTTTTGCCCCCAGGCGATGTCATTGCACACTTCCTCCACACTTTGAATCATGGCTTTGCTGCAACATATTGGCGAAGTTGTAGCCGCTGTCTTCATGTGAAATGGCTCGTTGTTTGTAAATTTCTTGATAAAATCAACAGTTTCATATGCCTTCAGCTTATTGATCCTTCTCAATGGATTCCGTTGTTGTGTACTGATGCGCCCTTCAAAAATGAAAAAGGAAATTTACGATGGTGTAATTACGTATAATAGTGTTAATTATTCGCCTTTGCTAAACATGTGTAAAAATAATCTACCAAAAAGTTAGAAACTATTTTTGGCGGTTTTGTTGATCTTACCGGTAATATTGGAAACGTACAACAATAACAACCACAAACCCAGTATAATTCCACGGGTAAGATCTGGGAAGGATAGTGTGTACGCAGCAACAAACACAATTTAATCCCACAGAAAAGGTCTGGGAAGGATAATGCGTATGCAGATCTTACCTCTACCTTGTGAAGATAGAGAGGTTATTTCAAATAAACCATCAACTCAAGGAACAGTAAATATAAAAGTAACAAATAGTAGTAACAACAATATAATAGGAACAAGGGGCACAACATGCAATATAAAGAACGAGGAATAAGAAAAATACAAAAATAGTACCAGTACTACTGATAAGACTAAAATACTTACAACTATTTGTCAACCTTCCACCCTTACTTTCGACCTTCACCCTTCCCTATCGAGGGTCATGTCCTTGGCTGGAGCAATGACATATCTTGCCTAATCGCCTCACCCCAACACTTCTTTGGCCTACCCTTCCCTCCTTTAGACCCGCAATGGTCAACCTCTCACACCTCCTAACCGGGGCATCTATGGCTCTCCTCTGCACTTGCCCAAACCATCTCAGCCTCGATTCCCACAGTTTGTCCTCCACCAAGGTCACACCCACCTTGTCCCTAATAACTTTGTTCCTAATTTTATCTTTCTTGGTATGCCTACACATCTATCTCAACATCCTCATTTCAGCTACCTTCATCTTCTCGACATGAGACTTCTTAACGGGCCAGCACTCCGCCTTATATAACATCGTCGATCTAACCACCACTCCGTAGAACTTGCCTTTTAAGTCTTGATCGCACATTCTTATCACACAAAACTAATATTGGAAACGTATATTTACTAAATAATTTTTTTTTTTTTGTACTTTTGCTACAAATACTCACAAATTCCAACCAAATATAAAAATAAATAACTAGTTTTACCAACTGATTTTTTCGTTAGTAAATTAACCAACAAAATAACAATCGAATGTGGGTCGTACATTTATCAACAAAAACCTCCATCTAGTAAAGAAAATTATCAATGAACTTATATGCAATTTATTGAGTGATCATTCGTTGCTAAATTTAGCTAAGGTATTCAGATCCGTTGGTAAATACTAGCAACGAGCTTTTTTTAGCAATAAATAAATTATCAAGCGATTTAGCGATTACAAACAGATTTATCCATTTGTATATGAATTACATTATCAATTAGCGTTTCTCCTTAATCTAGTAGCGATGTATATTGCTAATAAATATATCGGAGCAAAGATTCTTTGGTCCAATAAATGGCAAGCGTGGAAAATAGCATATTAACATACTACACTAAAATTCTATCAAGTTCTCTACTCTCTCTAGTACTCTACATTGTTGTTCACTATTAATCCGCTAGAATCAAGAATAAGAATTACTCTTATCACACTGTTGTTATCATTTCTGTCGTTATTATCACTACTTTACTTCATTTGCTCCTTTTTCATACCATCGAAAGATTGGTCTAATTTGGTTTAATCACGTCGCTTGAAACGTAAATCTCATTAATTTAATTTTTATATATCTAATCATCAAAATTTAGGTTAAACACGGGATACACTGATCTCACGTATCAAGGACTAGTTATTATATCAACCTCTAATCTCCTCTTATCATATAGTCCTACCATTGTTCATGACATAAACTATAAAATGTGAAAGGAAAGTTTAAAATATAAAAGAAGTATAGGTAGTGGAACGTGGACCCATAAGTTCTGAGAAAGTGGAACTGCGTATTACCAAAAGTAAGAAGATTGAATAACACATTTGCTTTGCTTTTAAAATTTTGGGGAGAAATATCTTTTTTACATGCTCTTTCTCATCATTTCTTGACTGAATCATGACTAATTATTGCTATTATGTGGAGGTAAACAATTCTAGCTTTAGCAAAAGATTTCATGGACCACGGCCCCCTCATAGATCTTGAGACCGTTGCCAAAGATAAATTCATATTCTACGTACTGCTATTTTTTTTCTTTTTGTTAATTCTATTCAATGTAATAAAAGATCAAGAAGTGACAAATGTCGTAAGGAGGAAAAATATTAGTAAATGCAACGAACTTATCCTCTTGGTATGTTTGGTACGACAAAAAGAGTTTTACTTGATCGATTTATTTTCTAGTATCAGGTAGCTGTAATTGTAAAATGGTTTTATCAAGAAAAAACATTCTATTAACCAAAAAGGATAAAATGGCGTCTACCATTTATGACAACCAAAAAGGTCTCTACACCATCGAAGATGCGGTGGAGCAGATGTGTCGAGTTCGAGCCCTGGGTATGGAAATTCTTGGTAGGGAGAGCTTTCTTCCGAATGGTGCCTTACGCGGCGCGAATTTAAATATAGTCGGGCTCCAATGCGAGTACCGAATACTAGGTGAGAAACCAAAAAAAAAGGTCTCTACAAGTGTCATAACGCTTACTCCATATCACTTGCTTAACTTTAATAAGATAGTATTGTCAACCTAATTTAATCCTCAGAATTATCACCATAACTCCACTATTTTCGATTCTATATGTTGAAGGAGTACCCTATGTCATACTCATACACAGTATACTTATTCAGAAGACAATTAACAAAGTAAAAAGTTTTCCTCCTACAGAACACACTTTTTAATAATCGTTTTTTTCAACCTTAAATTAATTTAAATTCTGGTCACAAAGGGAGTGAAAGCTTCCTTTGAATGCCAAAGGTGATATAATGACGAACTGGTCCATGCTCGTCATGATATGATTGTTTTCCATTACTTTAAGAAATTCTAAGATATACTAGGATAACTTTACGCACGAATATAGCAGTTTGTCTCCACTTCAAGGGAATGTACTTGTGGAAATTCCCAATCCCAAAGATACGGATACTTTAATTTCTTTCAACAAAAATTAAGAAGTAAATATATATTCCTTCCGTTTCAATTTATGTGAACCCATTTGACTGAGCACGGAGTTTAAGAAAAGAAAGAAAATTTTTAATCTTGTGGTGTAAAATGAGACATATATTTTGTGTGGCTATAAATCATTGTGTAAAGGTAAATTGTTTCCAAATAAGGGAAGGGGTCATTCTTTTTGGCACGGACTAAAAAGGAAATAAGTTCACATAAATTGAAACAGAGGGAGTATATATATATATATATATATATATATATAAGTTCCTTCTTTTGGTGATTGTTTCTCTATTTCTCAAAGAATCCAAGGATTTTCTTCTTTATTTTTATATCGTATGATTTTATGCTCTATCCGTAACATTTTAAGTGTCCTATGTATGAGAATGGGTTTTCAGTAGAAGGGAAGACTATCTTTTCCTTTTCCTCCTTGTTTTTTAGGCATGAAACTTTTCACACTAAGATACTAAAGGTTAATTAAAAAACGAGAAATATAAAAAGAAAGAAATTTGATTATTATTTTACGTACAAAAAGATGTTATGAAGTCGATTTGCACTATATGATCAAATTTAATCATCAAGTACAATCGAGTTCAATGTATATTTACATATTTTGTAAATGAGAATTAGTTGCATGAATTATTATAGAAAAAGTAAAAATGGAAAAGCAAAGCAAGAAGAAAACGTACCACTATCTTTAACTTTGGCGAAAGGTGACCGAGTTAACTCGTCGAACGCGCAGACGCGACCAGGCCGGCGTCTCTTCTCCATTGAATCACCACTTTCGCTAACCCTTTCTGGTGACTGTATAATTTTCCTGATCGACTCTAAATCGTCATTGCACTTCGCCAAGGCTTGTAAAAGCTTCCTTCTATTTATCTCATTGGAGTCGTCCTCGGCCCTATAATCAGCTGGTGGAGGGATTTCCTCCAACCCCATCAGCCGTGCCACTAATGCTGGCTCTTTTTTTACTTTTCCCGGCGAGTTATTCGGCGTTCGCCGGATGTCTGGTGATTTTATGGGACTTCTTGGTACCTTTAGGTGATCTTTTTCATGTTTCCCTACTACTTTTTGTGGTGAAGACTCTCTTCTTGGTGATGAACCGTAGCTTTTCCCTTGCTTTCTTCCAGAAGTGAGGCGTTTGGTTTTGTTTTGGTATTTGGAGATAATCTGAAAGATGCCTGACATGCATCCAATAGACTTAACAACATGGTGATTTTCTGGTGGGGGTGGTTTTTGGCGACGAGCCGATGCCATTAAGGAATCTTGCCTCTTTAGCATTATCTGCTCCTCCTTGTTCTACTCTTCTTCTTTTTTGGGTGTCAGAGCTATATAACTTTTTTTTGTTGGGAAAACGGTAGAAAAGATGAACACAAAACTAGAAGGGGTTGGTTAAAAGATAGATGAACGCAAAGGACTTCTTGAGGGTAGTCGAAGGAAGTCACTTAAGCTTTCTTCTGGTCGCAAGTTCAACATTTATGGAATAAAGTTAAGACGTAAAAATTGCACAGGCACTCTATTTGGTCGCCCTCATTTAACCTATACTCATTTTTTTAAAAATTTTTAGTTTGTATCCACTTTTTAAATAATTTCAGCCACTTTCTTCTCCTCCTTCATCTTCTTCTTCTTATTATTTCTTTTGCTGCTGTTGGTACTACTATGGAACTTCAGTTCATGGGATGATTACCATAAATATGAGCTATAAAATTGAAAAGTAGGGAGCCCAATTATTCTTATGTGAAATTTTTCCTATTTTATCTGCTTTGGATTGGATTGTGCATAGATAGATTTGTTAGATGATAACAGTGAGACCGTTCGACGGTCCTTCCATTCTAAGCAAATTTATCCAAAAGTTCGCGATAAGCACCATGGAGTTTATGAAATCATTTCTAGTTTTCTTTTTCCCTTTAGAGTACGACTTTATTCTTCTTGTTTTTAGTGTGCTGCTTTACTTGGACTTGCCAAAAGAAATGGTGCTTCTATCTGCTTTGGATTGGATTGTTCATGCTGAAGTTAATCAAATATAGAACAAGAACTTCAGCTCTCCCTAGTTACAAAACAGAAACTTCAGCTTTAGAGCTGAAGTTCGCCAGTTACAAAACAAAAACACAAAAACAAAAACTTCAGCTATAGAGCTGAAGTTCGCGAGTTACAAAACAAAAACTTCAGCTCTAGAGCTGAAGTTCGCCAGTTACAAAACAAAAACTTCAGCTCTAGAGCTAAATTTCAGGCTCGGCTACTAGAATGCTGAAGTTTTGCGTGATTGCCTTTGCTACTTCAGCTCCGGATGCTGAAGTTATATGAAAAAACAGGTACGCTTGTAATTATTTTTGCAAAACGGGCACAAGTTAAAACGTGACACAAAAAGCGGGTATAGATGCAAATGTCCCAGTTCAGATAGCATAATGTTTTGCTATACACTAGTAAAACGAGCCAGTATAGCGTGGACAAATTGTTGGCCCAAGTAAAGGTAAAGTTCCTGATCATGATCGAAAAGGGTTCATATTGGATAAGGAGAAAGACCCTTACTCAAAGAGAACACGGTTTAAGAAAACGATAGAGTTAAGAGTATGAGATTAACTAGAACTCTTCCAATATGGAAGAGTAGCATCCGCATCCTAGTCATTCTCTAATTACTAACTCATTAAATATCAGTGTTGTTCTCTTTTACAGGTAATGCACATAAGTAGAAGTTAAACATGAATTGAGAGCAAAATAGCAAGGCAATTTTGCAAGCAATTTATGTGTGATGCAAGCATGCAAACCTAAAGCTACTTGAACCAGACAAAAGAACCAGTTCCAAGTGTCTGTCCTTTTATTCTAGTTCATTTTTAGTAGGTGATTTTACATTGTATTTTTCAGCTTATTTAGAAGCAATTGTATTAGGTACGTAGAGTTTTCAAGTTAGAGTTAACTTGAAGTTGTCGCAACAGTTGAGGTTGTGTGCCACAACGGGATTAGAGTTAATCCTAGGTTTACAAAAGAGTTTTTGTAAATGCAATTTTTGGCTCAGTGATTTTAGTGGAGAATTTGGAAAAATCCTACTGGAAGGTAGGTCGTGGTTTTTTCACCTTTTCAGCCAAGTGTTTTCCACGTAAAATTTCTATGTTCTTTATTTTCTGTATTTATTATTATGAAATAGTAGTAGTTGGAATACTTAGAAGAACCAGGTCCTTCTATAATCAAGTTAAGCAAATATTGGGTGCCACACAAATCACCCCCCCCCCCCCNNNNCCCCCCTCCTTGTGTGGTATTGAAGTCTAAAACATCATTTAGTATCAGAGCGGGTTATCCTTAAAAAAGCTAACACCTTAGGAATAGATCAAGATGAGTGCACCACCTGGAAACTGGGAAGGACAATCCAATGCTAGGCCTCCACTCTTTAATGGCCAGTGTTATTCCTGGTGGAAGAACATGATGAGAGACCACATCATAGGAGAAGACTATGAACTTTGGGACATTGTTACTGTTGGTTCCCTGGCTGCTACAAAGATGAATGCTGAATGAGTGGAAGTGCCAAAGACGAGAGCTGAATGCACTGCTGAAGATTTGAAGAAATGGGAAAAGAATGTCAAGGCCAAGAAATGGCTTGTGTGCGGACTAGGTCCAGACGAGTACATCAGAAATCAAAGATGTACCACTGCTAAGGAGATCTGGGACACTCTACAAGTGGCCCATGAAGGAAGTCATCAAGTAAAGAGATCAAGAGGAACACTACTGTATTCTCAATATGAGAATTTCACCATAAAAGAAGGAGAAACTATGCAAGAGAAGTATACAAGGTTCACAACACTAACAAATGAACTTAAGTCTCTTGGAAGAATTATACTTGAAGAGGACAATGTTGAGAAGATCTTGACAAGGGTCCTGCCAGTAACTTGGGAAAGCAAAATCACTGCTATTCAGGAATCAAACAACATTGCTACTCTCAAGTTGGATGAGCGGATTGGAAATCTTAATGCCTATGAGCTGAGAAGGCAAACCATGAAGATGGATGCACCCAAGAAGGAAAGAATCATGGCTCTCAGAATAGCTAAAGGTGCCAACTTAGAGGATGATGAAATGGCTATGATCACAAGGGATTTCAAGAAGTACCTAATGAGAGGAAAGGGTTCTTCAAGAGGTGCAACCTTTAACAAACCAAGGGCTCCTGAAAAATAGACCAATGAGGGTTGCTACAAATGTGGTAAGACTGACCACATGATCAAGAACTGTCCTCAGTGGGAAATTAAATGGAAGAAGGGAAGGGCTGAACGAAAAAATAGAAAGAAGGAACAGGTTCAACCTAAGAAGAACAAAGGATCAACAAAGGCTATGGTTGCTGCTTGGGGAGAAAGCTCAGATGAGGATTCAAAAGATGAAACTGGAGATGAACAAGCACTTATGGCAATTGGAGAATCAGACGATGGACAAGAGGTAAGTGTGATTCATCTCAAAGACAAGATTAAATTTTTGTCTAAAGAAAAGCTATCTAAATTACTGCTAGACTTCATTGATGAGTCTGAGGTCATAAACAATGAGAAGGAACATCTGTCTAGGGAATGTGTGACCCTTAAATATAAGTGCAAAAATCTAGAACTCAGGACTAGTGAAAGTGATAGTAAAAATACTGAGTTGAAGAACCAGGTTCTTGAACTTGACACTACTATCTTAGAAATAGATCTGAAAATTTAAAACTGAAATTAGGAACAGGTAAAAAGAAAGTTGATCTCACATACCTCACCTTAGAAGAAAATCTAGGAAAAATGAAGGATGAGTTGTACAAGAGAGATGAGCAAATAAGAGTCCTAAAAGAAGATCTAGGCAAGGTGAAACATGAATTAGACAAAACTTGCAAATGGAATAAGTCCTCTGATGTGCTATCCTGGCTACAAGAACGCCACGGTAGCAATAAGAGAGGACTTGGCTATGGGATCCCAGCACATAGGTGGGATCCCAAAAGTAAGTACATCACACTTCATGAGAACAAAATCTACACACACTGTGGCAAGACTGGTCATTATAAAAATGAGTGTAATGCAAAAGAAAAGGCATGTCAAAATAACAAAACCTGTGTTCAAGAGAAAAATCGGCTGACTGGATGGGCTAAAAAGAATTTAATTCACCCCTTTGCCTATAGAAAGGAACCCAAACTAGTTTGGGTTCCTAAGACTAACCCCTGATTTTGTTTTGCAGGTTCAAGTGAAGGAAAGTAGCCAAATATGGTAAATGGATAGTGGCTGCTCAAAGCATATGACTGGAAGTAAGAACCAGTTCCTTTCACTTGAAGACCTAAAAGGAGGTAATGTCGCCTTTGGAAATGGGAAGAAAGGTGAGATCATTGGGGTTGGAAAGGTAGGTAAGACACACTCATATTCCATTGAGAATTTCTACTTGATAGATGGCTTGAAATATAGCTTAATCAGTGTATCACAACTGTGTGACAGAGGTAACTTGGTAGCATTCACCTCTAATAAATATTTTGTGATTAATCTTACCACTAACAAGATTGTTTTGCAGGGAAAAAGAGTTAAAAATATTTACATTATAGATTTGTCCACTCTTTCAGAAAATGAACTCACTTGCTTGAGTGTGTTGGACAATGATCCCCTCATGTGACACAAAATACTTGGGCATGCAAGCCTAAATCAACTCAACAAATTAGTCTCCAAGGACCTGGTATCGGTTACCTAACATCAAGTTCAGGGAAGACAAAGTTTGTGAGGCTTGTGCAAGGGGGAAGCGGGTAAGATCTTCTTTTAAAAGCAAGAAAGTGGTAAGCACAACCAGGATGATGGATCTGGTTCATATGGATCTCTGTAGTACAATGAGAACATTGAGCAGAGGTGGTAAGAAATATGTGATGGTACTTGTTGATGATTACACTGGGTTTACTTGGGTAATATTCTTAATATCTAAGGATGAAGCATTTGACATGTTTACTGCCTTTGTTAGAAAAACTCAGAAATAACTAGGTAATCAACTTGCATCAATTAGGTTTGATCATGGAACTGAATTTGAAAATGCTAAGTTTGTTGAATTTTGTGATGAGCATGATATAGATCATAATTTCTCTGCCCCTAGGACTCCTCAACAAAATGGGGTAGTTAAAAGAAATAATAGGACTCTTGAAGATATGGCTAGGACTATGCTTCTTTCTAGTAAACTGCCCCATAGCTTCTGGGCAGAGGCTGTAAATACTGCATGTTGCATCATTAATAAGTGCTTGACTAGACCTCTTGTAGAGAAGACTCCCTATGAGTTACTTAAAGGGAGAAAATCAAATATATCCCATCTTAGGGCATTTGGATGCAAGTGCTTTGTGCACAATAATGAAAAGGACTCCCTAGGTAAGTTTGATCCCATAAGTGATGAGGGAGTATTCTTGGGATATTTTTCACATAGAAAAGCTTATAAAGTGTACAACAAAAGAAGTTTGTGTATAGAAG